AACCTCTAGCTTAAAAAAACTAAAATCACAGCCCATTCATTTGGCCTTTCTTTCATGCTGTGCAAGAAAGTGTGGCATGACCACGAAAACAGAAAGATATGGACACAAGATGTGTGCAAATGTATTTAGTATCCATGTGAACATGATTTAAGTGGGGGGGACCTAACCTCCTCTAGGGGGGTCCGAGGGCATGCTCCCCCGGGAAGATTTTTTTTTAAATATTGAAGTTAAAAGCATCAATCTGGTGCACTTTGAGAGCAACATGAGGAGATCTATGAGTACATCTTTCAACACCCATTTGAAACAGAACTGTAAGCAGATTTTTCTTTTTGGATATTTTACAAATCACTCCCCTCTTAAACTCTATTCTTGTTATTTTTAACAACTGTTTTGTTACTGTCAAATAGTATTTTATACCTGTTTTTCATTTAGTCTCTAATTTCTCATTAATAATTATAATGATCATATCAAGGTGTGCCTTAACCTCACTGAGCTGAGGTTATTAGAGCCTCTCAGGAGAGAGCTCTCTTCCACCTGGTTGTAGAAAAGCTCTTTAAATTCGTTAGCATAGCTAGCTAACCAGATGCTAATAACAACAGATCACCACTGTGCTTACAACTAAAGACACAGCCACGCAAACACTGCGGTATTGTGTACGGCTCCTTATGGGTACTGCAATATTTGAAGAGCTGGAGCGGCGTTCCGGTGCTCTCCGTAAGCACTCTAGTCTAGTCTACACTTCTTTCAGACGAAACATAACCACGTGAAGACACGTTACGCTCGTGTTGTGTTCAAGGAACCTGTCCTTGGCCAGGAAAAACAGGCACTCGCTTGTTTAATTATTTTGCGATCTAGATTTCTTCTTCTTTTTTGAAGTGAGAAGTTGTCCGTCAGTCGGACGGACGGAGACCCCCCCCCTCCCCAAAAAAAATCGAAAACTCTTCGGTTCTCCACGAATTACACAAGTCATCCAAAGCAGCGTCAAAAAAGCGGGAGGCGCCGAAAAGCGACTAATTTGCATCACTGCAGACAAAAGCATCAAGTCTAACATTTGGTCTTATTAAAAGTTTGGTTTAGAATTGCTGAATATCATTATCAGGCCATTGTCATGCTGTTTTCTGAGCACATGTTACAATGCATTCTCTTGTCAAAAAATGCACAGGAATATTTACTTGAACCAAAATGTATTTTAAAAATCATACTACAGCGTAGTGTACAACTACTGCTTAGCTGTTTTGGTACTGCACAACAGAAGCGAACACATACACAGGTATTGTGTTCTTGTCAAGTTTGTCAAGAATCCAACAATGGCAACATTTTCTGTCGTGATATTGACAGTTAAAGAGGTCAAACGCAAGAAATTACTAGCAGTGCATGTACCTTTTTAAAATTTGAACAAGGTTGAAGTAAATCCCGTAAAAGCATGTTCTAAGCTTACATTTGGGAAGCCTCATCCATCTATTCAACACATTATGGTCGGTTTCTCCGCTTTCACTTTAAAACTTGGTTACATTTAGCAGGCAAAAGCGCCCACACACCCATGTGCTGCTATAACCCTTCTCAGACAAATGCCTCGATGTCTTCACACAAGAGGACCCCCTGTTCTGAGGAACTGCAGCAGAACCACAGAACGTGACTCTGAAGCAGTAACCACCAGAACAGATGAAGTCCTGCTCCGACTCGTCATCGTCTCATCACTGAAGGACACAAACTGACCCTGAACAAACACGTCTACCTGAGAGAAACCCAAAGCTCTGTACAACAGATGGCAGTTTCTATTGTGAACAATTGTGGCATGCATGTCTGTTTTTCTATTGTTAACCATATAGGTCAATTGTAAAAACGATTAAAAAAACTCTGCACTCACCTTGTGGCCAGGATGATGATCTCAGTCCTGGTTGGGGTCACACGCACCTCCACACCAGAGTAGCCATCCTCAGCAAGCTCACGAGTCAGGAACTCGTTCAGCTCTGCCTTGAAGATACCGTCTGCCACGAACTGAGGAGAGAGGAAAGGGTCAGCTTACACATGATAAAGAATGATTACACAGAGGTAAAACATTAGTCTTAATAGTGGCTCGAGCCGAGGAGCGAATGGGAAGAGGTGCTCGTGTAAAGACTTCAAAAAAATAAAAGGGGGGACATCTGAGGCCCAAACACTGCACATGCAACGATTACGTTTGAGTTAGCTACAGTCAAGGGAAATAAACTACACATTTTACAGAGAAGTCACGGACGCAATGATAACATTTATTGTACAGATGTGTAGATATCAAGTAAACCCCCAGCATTTATTATTATACTCCAACTCTAGTCAGCTGCGAATACCCCTTTATTCTTTACATTAACTTATCAAAATATTGAAACCACATGTCAGATCCGTAGAGGTGCAACTCCGTGACACTGGAATACGTTGCTACGGTCAGTCATTAGTATCATAATGTGCATTGTGCTGTTGATATAAATCAAACTTTGTTACTTTAAATATGCAATGATTACAATTTTAAAAAACGACGATCTATTTGGAGTTTCTAAACTTCTTTCTATCTCATTTGACTATGAAGCTAACTCATCAAGCTAACCCCATTCAAAGACTTCAAACACATTACCGTTTCGAGTAAGCAGATATATAAGGTTGTAGAGTGTTGCAATTGCTCTGAAAATATCCCCGTTGTGTTTTAATAAGAGGAATCGTATCTGGAGGTACCGGTTTGTAACTCGTCGCAGGCCGCGGCGGACGAAGCCATGCTAGCTAGCCAAATGAGGAGGACGCAGCACCAGCAGTATCTGGATCAATCCTCTCCTGACCGGGGGTGGACCGGTACCACACACACCAGTATGTAGCGTAGAGAACTGTATCCACACCTACATTACACAATTTTTATGTAAAATGTCTGACTGAGGGTGTAAAACAGGATAAAATTGAGCTAACCTTCCTCTTCTTGGAGATTTGCACCGCCATCTTCGGAAAGGCCGTTGACAGGAAAGGACCTTAACAATAAGCGGAAATGAATTTATACCTAAACGACTGGTTTCCGGTGACGCCATGCCCAGTGTGCTGCTAGGACTTGTAGTTTTTCTTTTTATGAAGCAACCCTCTTCATTTCTTTGCTGGTAGGTAGCTAGATACCCCCAAACTAAATATTAAATTGTCTTTGCAACGTGTTCACTTTCGGTAACCTTTATTTGCAAACATTGCAATGGACAGAGAATGAGCAAAAAAAACACAACCGAAAACTTCCTGTCGGCTTTGAGTAGGCTTGTTTGAGACAAGCGAGACCTGCGCAGACCTGCGCAATTTCGATCAACGTCTTGCTCGTGCGTTGCATGATGGTTAGTCATTTTGTCCGACTTGCTCTGGAGGCTCGCTCACATGAGACGTTGAAATCTCGCGGGACAAAGACGCCCGCAGCCTTGAGAGTGAGGCACGGCGAGGCGGCGCAGTTTCTCTCCACGGGCTGCAGGCGAAATGCTTGATGGGAAACGACTCGCTGGTATCTAGAGCTGAGCGCTCATTGGTGGTTTTTACCCCGTGCTGCTGATGAAACTCTCCAATTGGCTCGGCAAAAGTTGTTGTTTGGTGTCAGTTTTACGTCGCCACTTCCATTCACATTTGTCATCATTGTTACACAATGTTTATCATCATGAAATTAATATCTATATATGCTATACTATACTTGCACTGCTTACCGTTTTTATACTCTATATATCTTAGCATATTCATACACACTGTTCATACTGCTCACAGGCTGCTGTGTATATCTAGTGTATTCATACCCCTCACTGTTTATCATACAGTCTATGCTGTTTATTCCTCATTCTATCTTTTATTCTGTAAATTGTGTACATTGCTTTTCTCTTTACTGCTTGTTGCACTCCTGGTTAGAAGCTAAACTGCATTTCGTTGTCTCAGTACCTGTAATCTGTGCAATAACAATAGAGTTGAATCTAATCTTGAGCAGGAACAAATGTATTTACTTAGTATATCTGACATTAACAATTAAACACGTGTGCATTCTTTATAAATGCAAACCGAGTCAAGCCGACTCCGGAGGTGGCGGTATGCACCTTAAAGTTGTTTGCAATCCGCCAAAAAACCGAGAGAAGAAGAAGAAGAAGAAGGCGAAGAAGAAGGCGAAGAAGAAGAAGAAGAAGAAGCCGACTCGGAGCTGTCC